CTGAGAGTGCTTTTCACCTTCATCTTTATTTGCAAAATTGGGCAGTCTTAAGACTTCAATACCACTGAGGAACCAAATGTTAATTTCATCAATCTGGTTATAGTTTCCTAAATTGATAACTGCTTTTAGTTTCTTCACTGGAGTGGTTTTTATATGACTTTCAAAAACAATTTCACCCTGTTTTATTTGATTCTGTATTTGCATATCTCCCCTAAAAAGGTTTTGGAAGGTCATGCAACAGTCACACCCAGTTTGTTAAGTTCTATGTTGTCAGTTACATCACGTTTTCTATCTTTGCTGCGAGCTAGTAGACACATTTCCCAAGTTTGACACCTTATACTAATGTTCACATTTCGTGTCTCAACTTGTGTTCTGATTGGTTAATGTCATTTCTTTCATCCTTTGTGACTGGCTACTGGCTTATTTCAAACAGTCATCATAAAACCTCTCCATTAAGCACTGGAGTCTTCATCATTTATATGTAAAAAGAAGTTAGGTTTTGTTTCTATTTTGCACCTTTATTAGTGAGATTACACACTGAACTCTGGTAGGCCAAATTCATTCAGGTACCACTCTATCCCTCTCTCCTGTTGTGTTGCTCTGGAAAATATCTAACCCTCCCCCTCCATGTAAGGTTTCATGGTTTGACCCTACCCCTCTGGCCATGGGATAGTTATGGATATTTTCTGGAACTGCACATTGTTTGGGTCATTGAGCAACAGCCTTGCATGATGATTCAATTGTCTAGTTTGTGTGTAGCTGTGCATTGCATCAGCCCTTGAGTACAATCTTTGATTTGATAAATCTGAAACATTGCTAACTTGGTCTATTTGGCCATTTTTTCGTTTGCATGTTTTAAAGGGGCCATGACACATTATGTGAAAGTGGTTTTGATTTGAACATTTATTCAGCACTGTCTATTATTAGTATATCTACAAGGTGTCTCTTTGTCTGCTAATACTTAATTGAAATAATTACAAAAAAAAAACCAGCCAAATAGTATCAGAGATGGTCATGATTCAACTAAATTGTGCTTGACCAACTTTTTCGAGATGTTGCCTTGGTGATGTGGAACCTTTAATTTGGGCGAGCAAACTTGTTTTTAATCATGATAATAAATATACAATATACTTAGTCCAATTTAAGAAATCCTTTGTTCCTATATGCGCGAGCTGATTTGATGGCAAATGAAGAATAAGTATCTGGTCTTTATTTCCAAGAGATAGAAGACCGGGTGACAAGGCTTAGCAGTTTGGAATTGGACATTTCAGCTCTGTGTCAAAACGAGTGTTCATGTGAAACCATTCATTTGAAATGTGTTTGATCTGCATGTTCATTTTCATGGAAATCAAACTTGTTTTCATAAGGAAAGTTTTGCACGAAGGCTCGCGTTGAAACAGAGGCAAAACTAAAGGCACCTTGGAAATGGTTCCATGTATTTAATCAACAATCGTTCTACTTTTTCATCAACTACCAAGTATAGGTAAATGGGAAATAATAGTAAATCAAGAAGTGTGAAATATTTTAGTCGCTTTTCTTGTTGGTGAGCTTTGCAGCAATTGCATTTATACAGTCTAGTAATTTGTTCTAGTTTTGTAACACGTTAGCATAAGGGTTCGTATTGGTAATAAATTTGTGCGAAAGAACTTGGTCTGTGATTTTGCTTGTTGTAGAAAGTCCTTTTGGTCAGTTGATACTGTCGACCAACATATAGGTCGACAACCTGGTCGATATTCACCCTTATATAATCAGTATAAGCATGTTCGGTGCCATAGGCCAGGGTATGATCTTTGAGCCGTTTTGAAGTTACAAATAGACTCCATGTTGCCTCTCGTCTGTTCAGTTTTATAAAATGAGATCACAAATGACATCAAAATGAAGCAAGAACAAATAAGTGACACGAGCCATTAGCGAGCGTGTCACCGATGTTCTTACCAGACCTTTTTCCGAGAAGGGCTTCGAAAAACCCCGATTTAAAGGACGAAAGATCGCTTTCACGTAGACTCGCTCAGCTTCGGGTGGACGCGTGCAGAACGTACTAAGGTATGGTGTACTTGCATGCCCTCATTAAAGCAATTTCGNGAACAGCCCTGTAGAAAATATCCAAGATAAAATACGAACTCTTGCAAAGAATACCGAAGTTTTCGAGAGACCTTTTTCCGAGAAGGGCTTCAAAAAACCCCGATTTAAAGGACGAAAGATCGCTTTCACGTAGACTCGCTCAGCTTCGGGTGGACGCGTGCAGAACATACTAAGGTATGGTGTACTTGCATGCCCTCATTAAAGCAATTTCTTAAAAAAAAAAAAAAAAAAGTGAATTCGAACAGCCCTGTAGAAAATATCCAAGATAAAATACGAACTCTTGCAAAGAATACCGAAGTTTTCGAGAGAAAAAAAAAATTGGCGGAAAATAAAAATAGCGCGGTGGCTGTACGCATTAGTGCTAATTAAAACTGTACTTTAATTTTCTGACCTTTTTCCAGTGAGGTAATAACCTAAAACAGCATGTTTATAACAAAACACGGTTTAGTCAAAATATCAATTGCTTCATTGTTATCTTTATCACAAGACCTTGAAACAATTAAAGTAAGACATATTTTTACCCCTTGTCAGGTTTGTATGAATGTTTAATTATCATTTCCGCGTGACAGTCGGTTTTGGAAAAGATAGACGAGATCTATGTGCTCTATGTTTGGTCGGTAAAGGGGTCGTTCGAGACTAAAGCTCGGGAATATGACACTCGCTCCACCAAAACTCACTTTCCAGCAAAAAAAAAATGCGTTCTTCGTCTTCTCATTATTGCCATTTTGTTGGCGCAGAACCTCTTTGATCCGTTTTGCAAGTCTTAAGACAATTTAATTAACTTTGTTTACTGACTTCTCGTGACAAAATCTGCGTGAATAAAACTGAGTGATGACATCACTTCTTCGCATCACGGCCGGAAATTCCCGATTACAGAAGGTCTTACTTGTGACCACAAACCAGTCTTGGCCGGGGCAAAAGGTATAAAAGCAGACTTGTTGGGCAGATAGAACTAATTTATCTCCAAGTGTGCAAGATTCTGCAGCTTAAAGTATCAAACGAGTCATTTTAGACACTGGGTAAGTTTTAACTAGTTTTCACTTTATAGGAGTTATTTCTCGTCAGTTAACCTTCGTGGTTTCAGTAACAGTGCTTCAGTTTTACTCGTTTCGATGGACTAGTCTTAACTATTTGCCCGGCGTACACATTATTGAATAGCAATTGATGTCTGAAGATCAGTGAACACTAGATCGGCCACATATTTCAGTCCTAATCCAAACGAGTGCGAGAAAATGTGCTATAAGGATGCTAGCTAGCCTGAAACGTCCGCTTTAGCAGTTTTAGTTTTGACAGTTATATTAGTGAGTTGTTTGTTCGGGGATCACAGCAGACCCACTGGGTTAAATCAAATCAGATGACCAAGTCATGATTTTCCTTCATCAGGATTTGCTGTGAAAGCCATCAGATGACTTAAGTGGACAAAACCACAAGGACCACCAAGTGGCCGATCTTGTTTTTCAACGCTATTTCTTTGTAAGTTTTACGCGCCTATGACATATCTTTATACAAATCCAAACGAGTTTGAGAAAATCTGCTATAAGGATGCTAGCTAGCTGAAATGCCCGCTTTAGCAGTTTTAGTTTTGACAGTTATATCAGTGAGTTGTTTGTTCGGGGGTCACAGCAGACCCACTTGGTTAAATCAAATCAGATGACCAAGTCATGATTTTCCTTCATCAGGATTTACTGTGAAAGCCATCAGATGACTTTAGTGGACAAAACCACAAGAACCACCAAGTGGCTGATCTTGTTTTTCAACGTTATTTTCTTTGTAAGTTTTACGCGCCTATGACATATCTTTATACCAAAAGTTTTCAAAGAAGCAAGTTTCTAATCACACCGAGATTTTTATGATCCCGGGTGGTCTCAGATATAAAGAACTGAGCGAATGCATCCTGTAATCTATTTAATTAATTCAGGAAATTTTCCTTCGATTTTTAAGACTTCCCAAACGTTCCCAGGAAATGTTCCATCTGATGTTGTAAACTCAGTTTATTTTTACCATCCTTATCCAATTCAGTTCCTCGTGGGCTCTAGACATTTTGTTGGGTTTTCAGCATGTCCAATTCACTTCCTCGCATTGTAATGGGTTCTTGGCATTATGTTGGGTTTCCAGCATGTCCTACTCAGTTCTATCGCATCGACATGGTTTCTTGGCATTATGTTGGGTTTCCATCGAAATTCGTGCTGTTTCCAGCATGTCTAGCAATATTGATATGTTCTTTTTCACATCTATGAATCACGCTACAGATTACAGATCAATAACAGTACTTCTGTGTCCTTAATTCCTCTTTCCAGGTATTCGGTTGGGTCTTGGTGGGTGTTGGAGCGTGGAGTCTTTATGAATTCGCCGCATATGAAGCTATTTCTTCATCCGTGCCTTATGCGGTGTCATCCAAGCTTATCATTGCAGCTGGCGTCTTCAATGTGTTGGCCTCGTATTTTGGCTTCTGGGTGACCTCAAAGGATAACAGGCGTCTACTTGTTCTCGTAGGCTTACCACATGTTTCTGGTTTCAGAACATAGTGTTAAGTGACTTATGTTCCTGAATTTTCTGGGTTTTGTGGCCATTACACCATTATTGAAGTGCAATGGCCTCAGGCTCTCGGTCAATGGTCTCCGGCGCTCTCCTGGCTCTCGGTCAGTGGGGACTTTCAAAAAAGCGGGCGGGAGCGAGACGAGCGAGGTCACTGTCCGAGAGCTTGAAACAGGCTAGGCAAAAATCGAAGTATTTACATTAGCTCGTTAAAATACATTTTGCAGTAGGCTTACCTAGAAGGAAGTTATAATAGGCCATTTCCGAGTTAACTTTGCTTCCGCTTCAAAATGAGTCTTCGTGGAACACCTTTCATATGAAAATGAGTCTGATGTGCATGAAAATGAACCTGTAGTCGAGACACATTTTCGCATGAATGGTTTCGCACGAAGATTTTGACACTGAGGCAAGAGGCAACTCGGAAATTGTCTATTAGTTATCATACATTAGGACTGATATTGGGGAGTTACATCTGGATCATGTGATGGTTTTGTCGTGCTAATTATCTTTGCGTTAAATTGCAGTTCTTTCTTGTTCTTTTTGTGATTTTTGGATTGGAGATGTTCGCAGCAACTTCGGGATATCACCATCGTGAAAAGGTGGGATTTTAATTAATGCCATTAATTTTGGTAAAGCAACAACAACAACAACAACAGCAATGTAATCCATCATTTACATAGCTGTTTTGAAGGACTGATATTAAAATCCAGAGCCATCTGACAATTTGTATAAACACAAGACAAAACCAAGGATAGTTATTATTGTTGAAACTAAGGTTGTTTACCATTTACTCGGAAAAACTGGTTGGTCGACAGTTGTACTGTAGTAAATAGGACGCGTCAAATCCCAAATGGAAATGCGCTCGTTTTATTTCCACGACTTTTTCCCGAAAGATACCCAAAAGACCTGGAACCAGTAAAAACTAGCAAATGGAACGCACATTTTCCATTCGGAAATTCCGTTTGGGAATTTTGGTCAACCTTTCAAGAAATCCCGTTTTCCCGAGAAAATTTCCGTTCGGGGAGACAAAATTGATCTTTCCATTTACATTCCATCCGAAATTTCCGGATTTTGGGGGTAAATGGTAAACAACCAATGTTTTTGTTCATTAAAACGAGGAAAAGTTTACAAGGACTGAGGTCTCGACTTCTGATTGGCTGCAAGTTGTGTGGATAGAATTCTACAGAAAGAAAGCCAGATACATTAAAGACATTGAAGTCATACACTATTTTCTTAAGAAATTGAATACTTTACGTATTTCACTAAAGTTATATGGAGGCTCCTTGCGAAGATCATGCCTCATAGCCAGCAAAACTAAGGGGATGTTAGGAGACTGCAGGTTGAATCCCAGGCTCGCGAGTGGAACAAACTATAGTAACAGTTGCCCTTAACTGCGTCTCTTTCGGGGGTGAGTTAAAATATGAAATGAGAGTGTCAGAAATCATATTTCTTATTTCTTAATTTGACTTTTTCAGGTCAGGCACACACTTTACAACGATATGCTTTATACCATCCAGGAACTGTACGTAATCAAAACAGCGCCTTCCAGTGCTTTCAATGCACTTCAAGAGAACGTAAGAAAAGTGTTATTCATAACACGTATTTTGCGTTTTTTACTGAACTGTCATTTGCATGTGTATCTGAGGCCCCGCCCACACGACGCCGGTGTAATTTGAGAACGGAGGTTTCGCTCTGAAAACACATCAAATGTTTTTGACCACACTACGCCGGAGGAATTTGAAAATGCAACAACAACCGGTCATTTTGGATTTGTGGTTGAGGAAACTCGGTCATGGAAATCACGTGATATTATGATGTCTTCGTTTCGAAAAGCTCCCTTTTCAAACTGTTTTCCGTCCACTCAAAAACGAAAAGCCAGCGTTTTCAAATTCCTCCGGTTTGAAGAGCGTTTGCAAAATGCTCCGTTTTCGTGACGGATTTGTGTTGACGGTAGGTCTAACCTTAGAAATAAAGCTCCGTTTTCATATTCCTTCGGCGCGCGTACCTGCATTATCGGCTTTAGAATTTGATCGCTGTGTTTTGATTTTAGGAGATGTGTTGTGGATGTTACAACTACACGGATTGGCGAGACTCGTTGTTCGCAAAAGGAAACATGTCGATTGTTCCCGATAGTTGCTGTAAAGAACTACACCGTCACTGTGGAGAGAATTTTGACGTAAATAATATTTACACCCAGGTATGACGTTATTCGACAAGAGCAGAAGAATAAATAATTTACGGTACGCTAACTTAGAGAATGTGAACTAGTCACACTGCAGAACGATAACGAGGCCTTTTTAAGGGTTGTAGAGCGCCCTCTTTCCTTCAATGCGGCCTTGGCCTCATGGAGATGGAATTTGTTGTTGTTGGTAGTCCCGCTACAATCTTGTACAGAATAAAATGAGAAATGAAAGCCCCCTCTTCCTGAATCAATGATGATTCACAGCAAAACCAAAACGCGCTATATTCCCATCATTGAAATTTAGGAAAGGATGATCTTATCTATTTTTCTTTTTTAACTTAAATTATACTGTAATAACTTTTGGGTCGAAGTGCGTTCTTAAATTCATCGATCTTAATAAATGTTTTCACGTCCTTTCGCGTCCTTCTTCTTTCAACCTAGGGTTGTTATTGGGTTTTCCTGTACGGGATTATCAGACACAAACTTTACTATGTGGCAGCTATTGCTGTTGCTGCAGTTGTCTTTAAGGTAAGAAGAAACACAAAGAGTAAATAGACGTTATTTAGACCTAGGAGTAGTTTATCGTCAAATTAACTTGGTAAGATAGATGAACTACTGCGAAGACAGTTAGGACTGAAGTTCTGTTTCGTTAGCCCTTTGCTCAAACAAACGTCTAAAACTTAAAAGTTTCATCACAATAAATGGTTAAATGTACGGCTTTATTTAGTAACCTCAAATTGATAACCAGCTAAGTGTTTTACTTCGAATTCCCCGCTAAGGCTGTTCTCCAGTTTCCTCGCAAACTATTTTCGAAAGCTACCTTTAAAACTAGTGTTCTTTCGAGTAAGGCCTTAAACTGCTATAAAAACGAGAAATGAAGGACAACATTCAACGCTAAGTAAACCTTTTGTTCATTACGTGGATGGTTTCACTCTTTCTCTCTGACTGTAACAATGTATTTTGTTTTCTTTCATGTGTTCTACAGGTACTGGGTATGCTGTGTGTTTTATTGTTGATCTTAAGACTGGAGCAAACAGTGGAAAAAGCACCACTGATTGGCTGGGTCCGTATCTGACAACTGACGGATACATGAGAGGCAATATTTACTTCTGAAAAACGTTTTCGACGGCATGCGCCATAGCTGCTTATGTTAGGCTAACATTCGTTTAAGTCCTACGTAAGTGAAAATCTTTCCTTCCCGAGGGGAAGTTAAGGAGTTGGGGCGGGGGATGGGGGACTCCCATATGAAAAGGTAGGGGCTGCTCGTCGTCTCGCAAGGATTTTGGTCTCACTTGGGGTGTTCAGGACTCGTGTTAACTCGAAGAGCTAACAGTTGAAAATAACTCTCATTTCCGATTTCAGGCTCGATTTCCGCCGGCCTCTCGAGTCCCGTCTGCTAGCGCGGGTTCTTTTTCTGAACAGCAGCTGGTAATCAAGCCTATTCCGTAAAAGGTGGTTTCTTTCAGGGGTCAAAAAAAAAAAGTTCGAGCCACACCCAGATCGGTCCCCTCTAGGGGGTTAATTTAAATTTTCCGACGAGCAGTCCACGACCGATGCTTAAGGTGGCGATACACTCCTGTAACATCTGATTTTATAATACTAATTTTTCCCGAGAAGTCTGTAGAATTCTTCGAAGAGAATTTGCCGTAAATTGCCGTTTACTTGCGCTTTTGTGACGGATTTACTTCAAATTCTGCATTTCTATAATAAAATACATGAAAACTAGATCTGAGAATTTTAATTGAGTACACTCATTTTAAACGCAACAGGGCGCAGAAAACGCAATCCGCTATATGAAGCTGTTTGAGCCTTTTCTATTTTGTTATTGTACTTATTTGCCGTTTTTATGCTTTTCTGTTTCTCGCATTCTGAGAGACTGGAACTTGCCTCCGTGTTACAGAAAACCGTTGCCCGTTCTCGTTAAATTCTGTACAAATTGAGTAGCAGTTTACGCCATTTGTAAAGAGTCCATCCATTGCGCTCAGTTTGTAAAAATTTTGTATCTCTAGTGAACCTTGTATATTGTTTCGAGTGCCCACATTTTCTTTTTAATGATTTTAATTTAGTTAACTGGAAGAATTCATTTATATCATTATATGAAAGTTTAGTACAATGAAAAACACTAAAAGGCCGCCGAGTAAAACTTGTTTTTTTTGTTCCGTGTTAATTTTTCTGCTTTCCCCTACCCCACCCAGGCAATCTACATATTCTGTTTGCCTGTTCCTGAAAAGTAGGAAGTGCATGGCCGATTCTAATTGAATTAGCTACTTAGTCATCGATGTAAGAATATTAACGCCTGGTCAAAAACATTAAGTGAGCACTAGCTTTTGCAGAGAAGCGCCTTGTTCCTTAGATGTTATGCCCATGAAAGAGTACCGTAAATTACGCCAAAAAGTGCGTAGTTTACGTGTATTTCTAGACTTGTCTTGTAACTTTGTTTAAATACTTTATTTCAAAAATAAAATGATTGAACCAACCATATTTACAAATAGGGCTCAAAAACTCAAAAAAGTGACCAGACACTTTTTCGCAAAGCCCCGTCTTGTGCACAAACCACCCTATCTTTTGGCAACACAACAGAATTGACCACAGTGTAAACAAACTCAGTGTATAGCTTACGCACTCGTATATAACCGTCCCGAGTTGATATTAGTAGTTTTATAAAAGTCTAACAAATCTAAGAGACGCTATTTACAGTGTCCATGGACTTAATAATTTACAGAGCTGGGGATTGAAATTTCAGCTTCAGCTTTCCTTGGTTTGCTCTTCAGATCCTTCTGCTGTTTTCTCTGATTCTTCTTCTGCTGGGGTCTAAAAAGACAGAATACAGCATCATTTGTGTTGCCAACAAAACAGTTAAAAAGTCGATTTTGCATGCATTTGGCTTTTCATTTTTGGGATTTCTACAAACTCTATGATACAAGCCCGTGAACAGGCCCCTGATAGGGTTATGGTGCGTACCTCTTCAGATTGTTTGGCCGATTCACTCTCCCCTTCCTGGTATTCCTCGTGAGTGACACCCTCCTGAGCAATGGCCTGCTTGACCTCAGCAAAGGCCGCAAACCTCTTGCTTTCAGCTTCCTGCAGGGCTTTCTTCTCGGCCTCGACAATCTTGAAGAACTCTGCTTCTGCTTTGCTGACCAGATCTTCTCCCTCTTCTTCCTCGGCTTGTTCATGTGTTTCCTCTCTAAGTTACACAGTGGAGGGAAAAAGTAGAGACTTTTAGCCAGTGCTAACCTGAGTAAAAGATTTCTTTCCACCTTTAGGAATAGCATGCATGCTTACGAGCCTTGAATCGTGCCATTAAAATGTATGACAAGGTATAATGATATTCTTACCTGTCTTGTGAACTCTTTGATCTTTCTTTCAGCCGCATCTCACGATGTCTTGTCTCCAAAATCTTTTCTCTTTTTGTCTCCCTTTCAAACATCTAGGAGAGAAATTCAATACTTCATGATCAACACTTTGTACCTAGCATAACCAACAAATCCATAGGGTAACAGGAAGGTGGAAAGGCGTGTTAAAACCTAACTGAAAATGGCAAACAGGTCAGACACCGCGGAGAAAACGGCAAAAAACAGAGTCTGCTGGTGTAGCATAGTGGACGCCATTTGCTCCACAAGAGCCAAAAGGAATAATGCCAAATGGGTGCAAACAGCACTTGGCATGCACTGCACCCTCTGTACAGTTGTATTGCTTGCCTATATACTATTTAGTATCATCAGGATTGCTGTGCATACAAAGGGATAGAGCAATAAAGCACTCTGCACATAAGGCATGCCTATATAGCTACATAATAGGCACGTAATGCATGTTAAGGGTAACGGCTATATAGCTGTATTAGTGGATGTCCTGATCAAAGTATTGTCATCATGATGTAACGTTGGTTCTTACCGCAGTAACTGAAGCCTTTTCATTTCTCTGAATGTTGCACAGTCCGTCAGACAGCTCCAGTAGAGTAACAGTACCAGAGTGTGAACCACAGGCTACCAACCTACCATGCTCCTGAACACGGAGCGCATTCAAAGATTCATCACAAACCTGAAACGTGATAATAATAAACAAAATGAACTAATGTAAGGGGGGGTCTAAGAAAAAGTCCCTTCCGTCAGGGAGGTATGGATATTTGCTGGAACTACACACTGTACACAATACCACCTGAGAATATTTTACTGTGTTGATGAAGTTGTTATAAGATCAAGTTTAATTACCTGGATACTGAGTGTAGGGTCATTCTGTTTAAAGAGGTAGTCCCACACATCCAAAGTGCCATCCATTTTAGTAGTGAAGAACACGGCAGGACGCACAGGACTCCAACAGCCATCTGTCATGTAGGACATGTGTTGCCTGGTAAATTAACAATATAACAACTCTAGTAAATTTACAAAATATAAGTGAAGGAAAAGAAAGCTATTATTAGAGAAAAAGTCCTCTTGGCATACTTACTATAAGCATGCAACTCCCAAAACACCCTAGTTTTTTAAAGCCTGCTCTGCAAACTGATTTTGATTATGGTAAAATAATAGAGGGACAATCATGAGAAAACAGGGTGTGGGACAGATACTGAGGAGGTGTTTGTCACTCTCTCTGTTTCTATGCTTCTCATGGCTTTGTTTTCACATGCCAATGAAACTAACAGCTTTGTAGGGCAATGTACTCCTATCATATGTTTTCTGGTATATTAAGCACCGACGATCAAGTGTCACCAGCCAGTAGATTGTCCCAATTACTCATACATTCAGTATTGTGGTATTGTGCATAGTATTCAAGGAAAACATTCTCTGGGTCAAATTAGGTTTTGGAAACCAGAGAAGAATAAAAAGACATGATGACATACTTGGTCCACATGATGGATGACTCCCTGAGATCCTCTGACCAAATCTACAAATAAAGATATAATGGCATTTAAATACTGCTCCAAAAACTCAGATAGCCTTAAAGTTAATGACATTGTGCCCATGCATAAAGCCCTCAGAGCATCTCCTTGTGATCATGCAATACGCAATCATCACACTAAATGTTGGTAACATCACTGGGTAGTACTTATTATCTTATAATACTTATTGCTTTTACAACTCCCTTACCCTGGCTGTCCAATCTCCAATGGTCAAGAAGTTCTTGGGAAAGAATGGATTGCGCTGGAATGACAATGAGTTTGAATTTTAATTAGTTTTCCTTTGTTGAGGTACCTGTTCATTAAAAACAGGGCAAGGAAAAGTAAAATGACTATGACAAGAGCTTAACTCATCCATCATTGCCCAGATAAGGGACTTACTGTCTAGACAAGAAATGTCTTAAGAGACCAACCTACCTGCACAGCATATACAGGCCCATAATGCTGAGAAAATGAACACACAATCTTCTCTGAAGGAGATTTAGCTTTTCTATTACAAGACAACACAGAGCCTTGTTCTGTTCCAACCATGAACTTGGTAGGCATGGTAGGTTCATACTCCAGGGACACTCCTCCCTGTGGACGAGGATCTTTCTTAACATTTGGACACAGCAGGAGGGACTCTGTGGGCTCACCCATCTTACGAATGTCCCACCACAGAACTTGTCCATCAGTACTACAGGAGAAACATTCGGTACCTGTGGAAAATTTTGGCTTGAATTTTAGTCCTGCTTCAAGGGGAATTCACAGTTTGTTCATTGACTGAAGGAAGGAAAATGTCAGATATTACTACATCCAAAACCACACCAGACCAAACAAGAAGTTCCAGTATAAAAGGTCCTGGCCATAGGCTGGTCATTCTCACACCAAGTTACCAATAAATATTAGCAACCAAAAAGTAAATGAAGCCCAGTTGACAATCNAGGAGGGACTCTGTGGGCTCACCCATCTTCCGAATGTCCCACCACAGAACTTGTCCATCAGTACTACAGGAGAAACATTCTGTACCTGTGGAAAATTTTCGCTTGAATTTTAGTCCTGCTTCGGGGAATTCACAGTATGTTCATTGACTGAAGGAAGAAAAATGTCAGGTATTACAGTTAACTACATCCAAAATCACACCAGACCAAACAAGAAGTTCCAGTATAAAAGGTCCTGGCCATAGGCTGGTCATTCTCACACCAAGTTACCAATAAATATTAGCAAACAAAGAGTAAATGAAGCCCAGTTGACAAACAATCTGTGCTTGTTCTTTGACTGTTAGTAATTTAATATTATATAAAACTTGTTCAATTTGTTTTTCAGGAATGAGTAAGTTATGTGCAGTCTTGTTTTGCTGATGCCATCTTTTGGTTACAAGAGATTTTGAACTATGTTCATTGGAGGGGCACTGAGGGAAACCTGGGACCAAAAGGGTGGGAGTTTGGTACAAAAAGGGTGGCAAGTGGGATTCCCAGGATAGCGACAATCAGGAGAAATAGAGAAATGTTTCACCAACAACTTGTTCATTTTGTGCAAATTAAAGAAAAGAAACAAAAAGATGTAAGGCACTGAAGGAGGGACAGAAACCAGGAGTGAAAGGGTAAGCAAAGTGGGAGGTTTTGACCTGATTACTTCAGAGGGCATCTGAGTTCAGAACCTGCTAGGTTCATCTGATAGTTAGAACGTTAAGGAAGTGAATGTCTGGCATGGTTGTTGTCTGAACAGCAGTTTATTATTATTATCCACTGTGAACAAATTGAAGTACCTGGTGATCAGATTGATGTCAGTTTTATTCAGTACAAAGTGTCAAAACTAAGTATATTGCATTCTAACCTGTTTTGGACTGGAGGAATATTGTCTTGTAGATGGGATCCCTGTGGCTGTACTCAATGGCTGTCATTTCTACAGGGTGGGATCCCTTCCGTGTATCCCAAAATCCTGTTTGGGTAACAGGAACAATGAATGAGTAAAAAATCAACATTAACTCATAAGATTTGTTGGCTTGAGAGAATCAACGTAGTCTTGTCCTTTTTTGACAATTTGTGGTTCTTTTTTGTTTTGCTACTACATGCTAGTCACACTATTGAATAAACCTGTCCATGTTATAAAGTTGTGTCTTCATGAAGTTCATACCTAACTGTCCATTGTAACATCCCCCTACAAGGATATGAGGATCTTTTGGATTGTATTCCAGGCAAACCAATGGTGAAACAGGTTTCAGAGCCAGTTCTGGTTTATTGGGATTCTCTGCAAGGATAAACAGAAAACAGTTAATCCCAAAACATCCTTGCAACCATAATACCCAACCTAGAAAAGAGATGACATGAAAAAGAAGTCATGAACTAGGAGATATTGTTTAGATCTATTAAATAAAAAACTCTTAGAACAAAGAATTAAGACTAATAGAACAAAACAAAAATAAGCTATTGCATCAGCTAAGGAAATTCTCAAATTATTATAATATTGATCTCCATTGATTATTGATTATTGAAACAGTCCTGACATAACTGTAAGTTGTATTTTAGCAAACTCTCACCTATGTCCCAAATGTACGAATCCATAGATGTTTCTCCTGCAAACTGTTGAAACTCTAAAATGGAATAAGCTACAGCCAGCTTTCTGGTGCTGTCTGGGTACCAGGACAGGCTGGTGGCTGTACGCTTCATGTCATGGGGATCTCTGAAAATAACAAGCAAAAGGTAAATAATAAATGAGAGTGGAAAATGTTTTAATCTTCTAGATGATTTTACCGTAATTAATTCGAAAAGTTTTTGTGACTATTCTGAGCCTCTTGAAGTAGACAAAGAGCCACTTTATGCATTTCCCACTATTCAGTCCTTTTTTTCAATAATTTACTCCAAAATACAAGCCTACCAGAAATAACTCCATGTGTAATACGATATGATGCGACACAATGGCTATGCAATACAAGTTTAAAGAGTGAAATAATATGCTTAGTAGCTACCACAGCCCAGACTTGTAAGATCCAGGGCTGCAACAGCTCACCAGCTTGTTTACAGGTATTCACTTATAATACACAAAAATGTTTTGAAAAATTAATCCCTCGTATTATTCTTAGAATTTTAACAGCACTACTCTACACTAGAGCAGAGATTTCTGCTAAAGGTCTACCTGAACACATTGATGGTTTTAGCAGAAGGTGGATCTCCAGATGTGTCAACATCAATCTCTGAAAAGTACTCTTCATAGATGTCAATTGCATTGTTTTGCTTGATACAATGCTCCATGACCTGCACAGGGGCAAAATGAGACACAAAGATTAATGAATCATGCAGAGCAGTGTGTGTAAGATGTAGTTCTATAAGTCCTGGGACGGAAATGTGCAGCATGAAGCTGGGGGTATAGCCTATTATAAACTAGTATCCCAACCAGACAAACTAGCAATGACCTACTGTAACTGCTTCATGCTGCACAAACCAAGACAGAGCTCAGGTGTTGTAGGACAATTTGATCTGAACAGAGTACAGACTTGAATATTTATACTTACATTTCCAAGTTGCTGAATTGTATTCATGTAGATCTCATCCTTTTCCACCTTTTTACGATATCTGATAGTTTGTTCCACTTCAGCAGGATTCACATCTTTTGGCCATCCTCCCTCAACATGGTTAATACCACGACTCTCTGTTTCAAACCTCTCTGTATTGACCTATATACAAGTTATTCCCCTGTTAACAATAATCTACATGAAGTTTTTAAGTCATGGATGACATCTCAACAAAGCAATCTGACTTTTTTCATTCCTTAAATTTATAATTCTTTATAATACCATAATTTACAAATTCCACAATCATTTCAATCAATTGAACATTGATAGTATCTTTGCTTTTATTTTTCAACACTAATCCACTGAGTTGTACAACAATATTATTTTCTTTGATACTACGATTGTGAAAACTTTGCAGGATCTTTACTACTGATCTCTAAGAATTTTTGAAGACCTTCAAAAACCTGTCAAAGGTTCTGAAGGATAAGGATCTTTCAAGGATCTTGACAAAGATCCTTGCGAAGGTCTTTGAAATGTAAGATTTTGGGGGGGAAGGATTTTAAAGATCTTTGAGGACTGACTATTTACGAAAATGACCGAGGAGTTGAAACTAGTGACCACCGAGAAACAACTCCAGCAAAGTGGTCGGAGTGGGACTTGAACCCATGACCCCCGCATTTCAAGTCCGGCACCCTGACTGCTTGGCCACGCTACCTATTGTAACTCTTACCTCATGTTCAGACATTTCTTGTACACATTGAATTCCAGTGTCACAAGGATTTTTCTCAATATAATCTTGCAGAAGCTTGTCATCTGGGGCTATGTCTACATGAAGCTCTGCTTGACGATCTGAGAAGTTGCACTGACGGCCAAATTCACTTCTCTTCTTTGTGTATACATACACAATCTCCATTTCTAGCTAAATATGTGTACAAAAAACCTAGCAAAAATGGAAGTAGATTGTGAAAATTAATCACTGACAGTAGCAAGTTTTCCATCTCTGCCAACTCCAAGGGTTGTCTTCTTCTCAACCAAAGCACATTTAAGTGAGTTTCAAAAAGAAAGGACCATCCTCACACTCTTATACTAGTGACAAATGAGATATGATTGTAAAAACGTATTACAGAATTGATCACTAGAGATATTATTTTAAAAACAGCTGCAAAAAGTCTTTTCGGCTGGTAGATCAGACTATTGCCCTAGTTATGTACAGTACATAGTTTGCAAGAATAATTTGTCAGTGAAACTTTTCCACTTCATTCACAGTTCCTGCAGCACTCGTCGTGTCAATGACCAAAACATCAAGCAATTTTCCAAACCAAAAATGCAAACAACCCTTTTCCTGGAGAAATGAGATTCAAAGTTCAACATATGTTCTTTGCAACAGAATTTGATTTTTCTACTTACAATAGCACTTTTATAAAACGGTTGAGTATGAACACAGGACAATAACAGGAATGAAAAATAAAGCGTTCCGAAATCAGGCATCCAACCCTCTTCATGCAAAGAGAGACCCGCGAAGGTTTTACGAAAGCCTTTGCACCGCTACTGGAAACTGTTGGATTTCCATTATACATGTTATATACACGGCTAGTTTCAACGCAAAGCAAAAAATAACATATAAGAAATTAACGCAGACTTGATAGTACAGACGTACCTTCAACTCAACAAGCAGAGACCATATAAATTAAATCCTCACACTACACACGAACGTCAAAGATGGCCGACCTTGTTGTCGTCTCTCTCGCTTGGCAACCCGGGAAGGCCTGGTTGCGTATTACAACTCGGTTACAAAGCCGGTGTTTTGCCGGCGTGACATTTGGCCTTTACACTTAGTAATGCAAACTGTTCTCGATTTTGGGCCAGTTTTATTTTCTAGATCGTCAAAATATTATTTATGGCTTAGTTCAAAACTTTTTTCATCATCCAGTGGCTTTTCAAATCGCTCTACTGCTAGTCAGACTCCTAGAGAAGTAGCGAAATGGATGGGAGAACATGCCCCTGTTTTCGAGATGAATGGAAAGGACATTTCAGTTTTACATGAACCTAATCAGTTTTTTAACACTCTTAAGGTTAGATCTTTGAATAATGTGATATCCTGACTTTTAATATCAATAGGTGATATTTAATGTACTTAAGTTCATAAATGTTTTTTGCTCATGCTCAACTTTATTTTACTTATATGCCCAGATTTGAAAGGCCTTACTGTATTCTTCATCAAGATGAATTATTAATTTTTTTTTACAGGATAATGTCAGCAATGCCAAACAAAGAATTATTTTGGCTTCATTATATCTTGGTACAGGAGCAAAAGAGAAACAACTTGTAGGTGTCCTCAAGTTTCAGAGTTATTAGATTTTTGGCAGAATATTCACACTCGGAAAGAACACTTTGGAATATAGCAATAGACCATTTTACAGTTGCAACTGTCTGCTCAGCAACTGGCCTCTGAATGGCAGCGAGGCTAAAGGTGACCTTGTTTTTAAAGAGACCTCACTGTTTTTGTTGTGTTAATCAAGTTGTTTTTACACTAACCAGTTGGCAAGTCTGTATCAAAGCAAGGTCACCTCCAGTCTCACTCGCATTCAAAGGCCAGGTAACTAAGCAAACAACTGTAAAATGGCCTATTTCACACTGAGATAATACATCCTGCAGCCCTACAAAATAGGCAGCCAAAACTATGTTAGTGTTCCCCCCTCCACATGCAGCCCCTATAGTATACTACATGGGGAGGCTCCACCCTAGACTACGAGTAGTCCCTCTTTCGCTTAGTCTGTCGTGCGTGACACGAAAGAAAACCGTGAGAAAAAAATGGCCCGCCCCCAGGATTTCGCGCGGCCATTTGTTTCTCACGGTTTTCTTTCGCGTCGCGCACGACGGACTAAGCGAAAGAGGGACTACTCGTAGTCTAGCTCCACCCAAAATGGGTACCTTTTTCAGGCTCAAGGTATATGAAAGGCCAGGGTAGGAATTTCACATGCTGAAGTAGAGAAAAGGGTATATGGAAAACTGCCATTTAGGTATTTACTGGAGACTTTCTTGCTTTATAGGTTGAGTGCATCCACAAAGCTGTAGAAAGATCTGCAGCGTCAGATCAGTTGCTGAATGTTGAAATCCTATTGGAGCACACCAGGGGGTCTAGAGGAGAACACAACTCCAGGACCATGCTGCTGCCACTGATTCAGAACTTCACTGATGTCGTCAAGGTGTCATTGTATCATTCACCCAGCCTCCGAGGACTGCTCAAGTTGCTTCTGCCAGAACGGTTTAACGAGACAGTGGCTCTCACGCATCTAAAAGTTTACCTCACTGATGACACACTGATAATGAGTGGGTACGTAATAAGTCCAGGAGACACAGAGAATTCAGTCACATAGTCAACTTATGAGTTCATTGTAACCCTGTTAATATGGTCACTGTTGGGCCTTGAAAATTTGGCCATATAAATGGGGTGACCATATTCACGGGGTATGATCAAATTTCATGACTGACTGGTCTTAAGTAAGCAACCAGAATGCAATATAATTTTCTTTAAAAATGAGCCTTCAATCGGGAAAACAATATTAACAATGGAAAGATGAACATAACTGGTTTGAGTGGCTGTATAAATGGGGTACAATTATTAAATATTATACAGGTTGAGATTTCAAAATGTGGCCGTTGGCCATATTTATGGGGTGGCCGCATTGATGGAGGTTTTCTTATAAGAAAATGTATGTCATGGGTGTTTTGCCAGGACAAACAAAAGTGGCTGTAATAATGAGGTGACCATATTAATGAGGTGATTGTAAGGCAGGCTTCCACTGTAACTGAAGATGTATTTAAACCAATTGCTGTGAAAAATCAGAAATCCTATGATTCAAACTTACCATACGGCAGAATAGAACTGTTGTTCCAAGCTACTTACAAGCTTGTGGCAAACACATTGCAAGGATTATTGTTTACATTTAATAGCTGGTAATTTCAAAAATTTGAATTTCACTGATCCTCTTGAGATGTTTATCTCATATATGAGAAAAGAAACTCATCGCACTGAAATGACACTGAAAGAGGTAGCTCAAATTCAAGTCATGCATCAATTGGCTATTTTTGAAGTTATTACATGAAATAACAATGCAATGTTGATAAACTCATATGTTTTTTGCTACCTTTCTTTCTCAGGGCTAATTTAAGTGCTGATTATTTTACCAATCGTCAAGACCGCTACATTGAAATCAGGAATTGTCCCCAGCTTGCAAACTACTTTCATGGACTTGTATCGACTGTAAGATCTTTCTCTCTTCACCTTCAACCAGACAACACTACGAAAATGAGTGAAGATTTCCCTGTTCATCCAACTAAAGGATTTGATAGAGGAAAGAAATTCAAGGCTGAGGCAGGGAATAGAGTGTCTGAGTATTTGCAAAGGAAAAAAAAGGAGAACATGTACAGTTATTCACTGAGGAAACCAAGTGAATATTGTGACACATGGGTGGTACCCTTGGTGCAGATGTTTCCATTTGGTATCCGTCAGGATGAATTTGTCACACGAAAGTTACTGAGTAGTGCTTGTCAAGCTTGCAAGCTTTTCCTGGCTTCAGGATATTTTAATTTAACAAGAAAATACATGGATATAATGTTAAAGTCATCAGCAGATTGTGAAATTCTGACAGCACACCCGACTGTGAATGGTTTCTATGAAGCCAAAGGAGTGGCAGGTATGGGGAAACTTCTTCATTATTTATTTTAATTCGAGATTCTTGTAGGAGAACTTTATTTGATTGTACCACTGTTTTGGTCCTTCCCTATCACTAACTCATTTGATGACCATCCTGTTGCTATTGTGGTGACCTCATGGTTAGTGTGCTCAATTTCAGATCAAGCAGTCCGGGTTCAAGCCCTGGCTGGGACATTGTGTTGTGTTCTTGGGCAAGACACTTTACTCTCACAGTGCCTCTCTCCACCTAGGTGTATAAATGGGTACTGGAAAATTTGATGCTGGGGGTAACCCTGCGATGTACTAGCATCCCGTCCAGGGAGGGGGTAGAAATATTCCTAGTCACTTCATGCTACAGAAACCGGTATAATCTCTGTCCTGCTGGGCCCCTTAGCTTGAAAGCAGACTTAACCTTTTTTTTTTTTACTTTATGACCATTTTTGACCCAAAGATAAATTTGTGGGGCAACATAATCCTCAGAATGTTGTTCCTGGGAGGGTAACAATGTGACTTGTGATCAAAATTCCTGTCATACTTATGGTCATAGTGGTCTTGACCCCTTTAAGGTGATAACCACTACAACACAACAACATTTTGAAGTATTAGAAGGATCCTACTGAATAAATTTCAAATAGCACGCATCATGAAAACCTCTTACATATTACTGTTTCTTACAAATTGTTTTTCTTGATTTGTTTATCCTCAGGAGGGATCCCACATGCCTACACCCTGTTAGCTCGTGATTTCTACAAACTTATCCAGGAACACAAACAGACTGAGCGCATCTCTGTACATGAGTATATACGTGACAAGTGGACATTTCATGCTAAAGGGTTATGGTTCTACTTTCCAAACGAGTCCTGGCCAAGTTTAACTCTAGTTGGTTCTCCTAATTTTGGGCACCGTTCAGTGTACCGTGATTTAGAGGCCCAGGTTGCCATAGTAACAAACAATCAGGGCCTTTGTGAAGCACTCCATGAAGAAAAAAGCCGCCTTTACAACAGTGCTGAGTATGTGACTGAGGAGACGTTTAT